ACCCCCTACCTTGGTTTTTGGTTTGTTTTTTTTTTTTTAATTGCCCCTGAGACTATCAATGCTTTAGATATTTTTATGCTGCTTTCTTCAAATGCTTTCACCATGTTATGCTTTGGCATCCATAGCAAAACCCATTAGCTGTGACAGGTTAAGATGCCTCTGCAGACTTCACCACAAAGGAACTGAGTCAGTGCCAACCATTATTCCTTGCAACATGCTACCCCATCTCTCAGAAGGCCAAATCTATAACTCTGCTCTTAACTTTTTGGTCCTGTGGGGGTAGCTACTTTGAAGAATGTCCTCAGCTGCTTGGTAGAATATTTTTCCAGTCCTGGCTGTACCATGGGTTTGGTTCATTAAACCGTAGGCAATAAGGACATTCTTCAGCCACTCAGCAGCTCTTTTTATCTGTAGCATATATGTAATTGTTATAGGTTGAGAGAGTGCTTGTAGATGAAAGACATAATATACTGATTAATTTTCACCAGTTGTGGAAACCCCACAAGCAATATGAGCCAACCTGTACTTTCTGCATATCTTTGCACTACTGACCTAGTAGTTAACCAGTCCTCTTCAGCATTTCTAAGTGGACCCTAAACTTACTTGACCTCTTGCCAGGTGTTGCCACATAACATGTGGTAGGATTCATATTCCAGATCAGAAAGTCCTGCATGAGGATCATGCCTGAACCATGTCCATTAGTTTTATTGAGAATGACCCTCACAGATCCTTATGATGGAGATGTCATAAAAAGGTGTGGGTTATACATTGATGTAATAAATCCCTGGAATCCCCTGCCATTTAGAGATGGATCACATGTTTTTGAGTTGCAGGCTATGTTTGAGGGAACATTTTGACACTCATAGACAGTAGCAGTGATGAATTACTGGCATGGTTGGGGCAAGAAATAAACCATAACTTTGTAATCCCCACATTGATGGCTTCGTTAGATGTAGTTGAGATTGAAAACACCAGTAAGCAGACTATATGCAACATGGCTAAGGTTAGGGAAACTAATCTATTGGAAACACAGGAGATAGAATTTGGTATTTCTGATACAAATTGACCAGATTTTCACCCTTCTGTGAAACCAGCTTGCTACTTTGTGGGGTTTTCTTTGATGATAGTAGAGTTTTGCAGTGCTCTGTTATTCTGATTCCACATGAAAGGTGGAGCTAGTCTTCCAACATAAGGATTATCAATTTGACAGTGTATAATCTGGTTTCCAGTGAAGAACCAGCTGCAAAGAAAGGCAGTAGCATGGCTTGTAAGATAATACCTAGCCTTTTGGTAGGCTTTCTTCCCTAGAAATCTTAAATAACTTGAAAAAGGTGCATGAATATTATTATCCTTGCTTTAAAGAGGGGTTAGATGAGGCGCAGGAAAACAAAGTGATTGCAGGTGAAACAGAGAGAGGGCTGAAAATAGAATAGGTTCAGCCATTCTGAATCCCCATTTGGTTCCTTTACCTGTAATTTTTCTAGGCTTCTTGTTTTTAATGCCTCCTATCAAAGGGGATGTAAAAAATTCTGTACAGTGAATATTCATGTAGAGAATAACTGACCACAGAGACTTGGTTCATGCTTCTGTGGGTCCTTCTTGTAGTGTTGAGCGTCTGTCTGCAGAGCCCTTTACAGGTTGTTGTTGTTGCTTCTCTGCAGAGAGCCAAACGATTTGGTTGGAGGCTCAGCGCAGCTACATCCTGCTTGGGTTGACTGTGCCCACGGAAATACCAGCTGCTGCTGAAAAGATGTGATCTCAATCAAGTCTAGAAAGCATGAAACGTGCCACTTTTTTCTAGTGCGCTCCATTCCCCGAATAACAAGGAAAGCTAATTAACATGAGATGGCAAATGAACTGCACTATCTGCCAATGCAGTGATGCCGACTCCTCTTTAGCATTCTCTTTGCTTCCATCCGCCACAATAAATTCAGATTAGGTATTGAAGCACCCCGTAGAAAAATATCTTTATTTTTGCTGTTGCATAACTTACATACTGACACATTGTATAAGATTCTGATAGAGGGAACCAGAGAAACCACTGCAGAAATATGAAGAGAACAAGAATTAGGTTGTGATAGTACTTGTCCAGTCTGAAATTTTGACAAATGTGTAGTAGATGGGATTTCCTCTTTTGGGAAGGTAATTTTTAATTATCCATCCTACTAATATACTTAACTGCCTTCATAACTCTAACATCCTCGCATTGCTAAAAATCCAGTTAATTTTAATTCCATTTTTCAAGTCCAGCAGTGCTCTGTTACCTGCCATAAATGGATTATTTAGCAGCTTTAAAATTATATTGCTGGTATTAAGTTCCTGGATGTAGGCCCTGGAGTTTTAAGATGGGCAGGCCAAGCTCAAATTCATTAACAGTTTAAGAACTAATAAGCTTAAACCAAATTTTAAAATGCTCCTTTGTTTAAAAAAAAACCCCAAACACTATTTTTTTGTTGCATGTTGTAGATACAGCTCTTACCCAGGCCTGATAAATATCTATAAAGTAAGGGGAAGCTGTACTAAAAGGAGGAGGAGTGAAAAATTGTTTCCACAGACATTTGTGAAGCTGAGACTCTAAGGAGATTGATACTTTGACTCTCCAAATGAGTATCACAAACAGTTGTTATACAGACATGAAATCTATTGTCTGTTTCTGAAACTGTATTCAGCCCAAGAGGTATTCTTGCAGGTCTCAAACTGCTGCTTATACACGGCATCATTATTTCAACATGACTTTTATTCTTACAGGTTACCATGTAAAACTGTGGCTTGGTCAGTGTGGGCTCCCAGTGATCTCATTTTCATGCTAAAGTAAAACTATTGCTTCTCTTTAGAGTGAATATAGCATAGCCAACCCTTCTAAGAAGGGATGCGGATCATCTTTTTCTCCATACAACGATCAACAGAACATCTGAAGTCCATGACAGTCCTGTTTTTGTCCATTGAGGAGAGAGAGATTGAGCACTGCACCTACAAGATCTTTTATTACAGCTAGTGAGAGGGAAAAAAAAAAACATAAAAGATCTTTGAAGTTCTGATCGTGTTCCTAGGCTAGAAAAGATAAAACAGCTTCCATAAGAAATGTTTAAATTAAAGGAAAATTATCAGGAGTGACTGAGGGGAAAAAACAAGCAGTGCAGGAAGCACATTTCTTTACCTTAATATCTGAGAGAAAAGCTGCACTTCAAAAAGTGGTTCAGGGGGAGTTGATTGCCTGGGATCTGTGAATTCCTACTGCCTGAGCATTGCGTCTGAGGGGTGGTTTCTTCTCAGATGTTCTTCAGTGCCTTACCCCAGGCAAACCATGCTGCTTGTCTGTTTTTCCCTGGGACTCTTGAGTCCAGGATCAGATAGGTGTTTCAGTTTTCACTGGAGCCTCACGCTGGGTCAGCACAACTGAGTCGGGAATATACCATGGAGGTGTGAGCAAGCTTGAGACTAGCTTCAGCAATCAAAGACAATGGCACCATGAGGTCACTCAGGAAGGTTTGATACCCCGTGCCCCACATGAATTTACAATACATGTTAGGGCCTTGCTGCAGAAGGCTGCAGAGTGGGAGAGGCTTTCTGATGAACCACAAGGTATTGTTTGGGGGAAGGAAGGGCAGTTCACTTGACTAGCTGAGAGTGAACTTGTACAGCAGTATAGACATACCATGTAACTCTAGGTGATCTTAGGAAAACATGGGCTCTAGCAAGTCAGCTTAATTATTCTTATCTATGTTTACAGACATAAAATAGATATAAGAAACCTAGCACACATCCTATGAATTATCAGGGGATCAATTAATTAAATGTGAGGGTACTTTTGGATTAGAAACTATTTTTTTTTTGTGCTAGTACTTTTTCAATTAATGTTTAAAATGTGTTAAATAATTAAAAAAAAAAGAAAAAAGATGGATATGCTTAAGCATATTCTGCTGACAGCGCACTGAGTCAGTAGATATTTCATGGCCAGTAGTACTATGGCTTGAATGCAGATGATTCATGCAGGCTTCAGTCACACTTGGTCCATAAGTCCTTAAAAATACTGAGTCCATTTTGGCTCAGTAGTGCTATCTAAAAGTTTACAAGGTGCGAAGTGTTTCTTCCAATGTATGAATGGAGAATTATGCTTGAAGATAAAAGTGGCTCCTTGAAGCCTGGCTGCCCATGAGAAGGAACACTGCAAATGGAAAAAAGCAGGAGTGTTGAGTGCTGCTGCTTTTAGAGCACACAGAGCGAAGGGAGCATCACAAGCCTATCACATATTTCAAGGATGGTTCAGTTGAACGCACAGCTGATAGCTAATGGCCAGAATGTCATGTTTTGAACAGCACTTGACTTAGTCACTTTGGGCTGCTTGATGGTGAACTATCCACTCTGCTTACTATGTCTTATACTTTACTTGTTCTTTTTCTTTTTTTTTCACCTTTTCATTGGAATTTAGGACTGAAGCAATGAGTCTGCCCTCCTGTGCTGCTGAGGGGAATCCTCATTTTCTTTCAAAGCAGCTGCACTTGAGCAGCGGCTTCCTCTGTTTAGGAAACATCAGCAGGGCTTTCAGCATGGGCTGTCCTGCTCCCTGCTGTTTGCTCTGTTGCAGCAGAGGGACATAGCTGTCTTAGTTTTTCACCTAACCTAGGCTTTCAGAGAAAAATCAGTGGTGAAACTAAACTGGCTATTTTTATACCATGCCACCTGTATTTAACACTTTGTTAGATAAAGCAGGGAGCTAGCTGTGTCAGTCTCTCCTGAAGGTGCTAGAGATGACTTATCTAAATACAGGGGAGGTAGAAGTCTCAGAATTGCCTTGTTTTGGCATCTTTCAGTCTCTTTATTATATTCTTTCCTTTTTGCTCAGTAATCATCTTCTCCTTGTTCTCCCCATTTGAGAAAGCGTCTGCCCATGGCAGGGGGTAGAACTAGATGATCTTAAGGTCCTTTCCAACCCTAACTATTCTATGATTCTATGAAGGGAATTTGCAGGGTTTAACAAAATATATCTCTGAGAAGCACAATAAGAAATGCAGGGGTATTTTTATTCCAAGATTTCACGGATTATGATATGCTAGAACTGTCAGTACAAAATCACTCTAGGACATGACACTATATATCCATACATTAAATTACTTGCATTTAAATAAGAATAAAAAAAATGTACTTTGAACACAGTGTGGTAAAAGTGTAGAGTATATTGTGATCCATTTTCAGGTTTTCTATTTAAACATGAAGGATTTGACTGGCCTGCTGGCCATAAAAGACTGTGAGTTAGAGAAAGGGAGTCATTTGGCTACACTTAATCCATGCCCTGGAAACAATCAAGAATTGTTCCCCACAGTATATTATGTAGTATTTTTGTCTTGTGATTGAGGGTAAGCTGCAGCCATGAGATAACTGGGTGCAAGTTCAATTCACATGCTAACTCTTATTCCCAGAAGAGTACTGTGGAGACATTATAGTAAAGCTTTCTGCTCTGTCTATACCTCTGAGTCTTATTACCAGGCTCTGGAGAGATGCATGTGCAGCTGTCTTCTCCTGGAGTGAAGTCTGTATCTAAGGCTCATATAGCAAAGTCCAGGGAAAAGATGAATCCCAGAAATTTCTTCCTCTGCTTTCCTTTGTTGTCTAAAAATTGATAATGCATTATATTAAACAAAGTTTCATTCAAAATTCTCAAAGTACCTTGCCAATCCCTGCTCATCATTTGGGTACACTAATCACTCATGAAGTTATAAATGTAGCTTAGTTATTTTCTATTTTTACCTATTCTTTAAAGCAATTAATTATAGATACCCTGGATAGGATTTTTAATTAATGAACCTTCAGTGTTTGTAATGTTATAAATGAATGCTTCAATCAAAATGAAAATTCCTATGAAAGAAAAACAATTACAAGTATCTATTTTAGTCCCGAAAGAGCCACGTCTCAGATGGCACGTGATGGCCGTCTTGTTTACATGATTGTAGAAGATAGCTTTGACCGCAAGCCAGAGTGCAACTGTTTTTCACATGGTTTTGTCTGTGTTTAGCATGGTTTCCTTTTTATTGGCTTAATGATATGTTATCTGTCTTCATTATTCTTTAAAAGTACACCTTGCCTGTCACGACAAAACACAAACTCATCTAAGCCATGTAGTCAGGTGACAAAAATCACTTGTGCAGTTTAGGTATAAACTTCCTTCCACATCTGACCCTATACTCTTGAGCATGGAGGTTTATTGACTCTATTTCCTACTGGTGTGCAAGTTGATACTAGCAGGGCCTTCTTTTCACCAATCAATCCATATAATTTTGCAAAGAAAGCATGCTGGAGGTGTGATTGGTTTACACATTATTTATCTTTTTCTGCCCAGTTTAAATTGGTCAGCCTGATCCTATTCACATGATAAAAATTATAATGTCTCAAATTACTCAATAAACTGTGGGTTTGTCTATTATTAGTGATCATTAGTGTTATAATACAGCATGGAAATTTAGAGCAAATTAACTACATATGCAAGCTTCTGGGTTCATCTGCAGTTAATCATAAGCATACTGTTCAAGTGGGCAGAGGATTTTGCAAGAATATTTCCAGGAAGAATTTGTGGGAGGAGAGCTAAATATCCTTGGGTTGTTATATTATGTTTTTCCACTCCATAATCTTGGTCTCCCAAATGAATGTTTATCTGAGATGTAGTCAATGACTGAAAGTACAAAAGAGAATTATAGCTCAAATTAAAAGAGCATCTCATGCTGCCAATTCCAAGGCCCCAAATTTTTATGACCATAAATAATGAATGGAAGTTCCATACTGATACAACCCCCGCAGCCTCCCCTGCAGACTTGACAAGGCTCCTGGTTCAGTCATTCCCCTTTAATAAAGGCTGTCGTAGCGCTGCAATAGAACGATGTGGTGGGATGTACAGCCTTGCATGTTATCAGATGATGACACACACACTGAGCACCGTGAGTTATCGCTTCCAGTCACTATTATTTCCTATGAAAATAATAGCTTCCAGTCACCGTGGGTTGCTCTGAGATTGCATTCATACTGATGTAGATTAGAAGTGAAGGGATTTCCTGATAATTACTGGTTTGTCTGGCACAAGAAGGCACAGATGAAGGGAGGTTTAATGTAAGAAATCATTAGAAAACAGTCCTAGCTTTCTGCAGTTTGCTATGCCCATTCTTCACCCTTAAATACCATTGTGATCTTCAGATGGGATTCGGTAGCAGGGGCTGGCTGGTCAAACTGGAGACCCTTAAGTTAATACAGCAAAGATGAAACATAAATATGAGTGAACACAAACAGCGCATGCACCTTGGAGTGCTTCCCTCAGGTCCAGGTCTGTGAGCACGGCCTGGGAGCAGCTGCTTAATGGCTCCTGGGACCTTCTCTGTGGCTGGTAGCCATGGTCAGGGGAGCAGGGTGATGGTGCTGGCACATATGTCCTTTGACAACAGGACTCCGAAGGCTGTGATTGCCGGTTTCTAAAAAGACTGGCCTGTTCTATTGTTCTTTTCCATGTTGCTGGTCAGATGAGTGAATCTGATGGGGAAATACCCCACACCCTGAGCCTGCCAGAATTGCTTTGCATGCATGGCAGGTCTGCATGGGGCGAACTAACATGCTTGCTCTTTTTAGTAAAACCTGCTAGGTATCTACCATTGCAATAGAACCGGAAATGGCTTCTCCAAACCCATTAAAAGTATTTCACACACAGCGCTGTCAGGAACTGTTTTATGAGCTTCTGCTTAAACCTTCAGGCTGCAAAATCTACATGTGCGAGCACTCAGTCCGAGATGCAAGGATTTCCAAAGTATTGTTTTCTTCCCAAAGTTTTAATGCATCTGGTTATCTGGCTACACGGTAAAACTGTCCTGAAGGAGGTTAGTGTGCAGTTTCAATGCTTTGCTAAACGGCAGCTACCTACCAGCTCATTTTGATTCCTCATGTTGGCAGAGGTCAGAGTGAGACTCAAACTCCTTCTTTTGAAGGCACTAGGAGACGGTTTAACTGCAACACTACATCACAGCAAAAGAGAGCAACAGGAACATTGTTATAACTTGTTAAAAAAATCATGTCCCATTACATATTTTTGTTGAAAAACAAAGTTTTAAACCTTTTTCTCTGACATTTGACCAGTGCAAGTCAGTTTCTCTCATCCATCCATCCTAGACATGAGTACCTTTGGCATACTTGCTGGAAGTTCCAGCAGCTTTATTTCCTTCTCTCCCTCCCATAACAAGCCACTTAAGAGACCGTGCCCTCACCAGATATCATTGGCAGCAGCTTACCTGTGAGTGGTTCCTTTTGCTGTCGGGGAGCGACATATCAAATATTTCACTCTCAGTGCAGTAGGGAGTGTACCGATGGCAGAACACCAAGTCAGTTAGCTTTATCTCTGAGCTTCCCACCATAAGCACTAACTTCAGGTATTTCTTTTCCTACAAACATCCCAGTGCATGGGGTTATCCAACTCTTGGCTGGGAGCTGGGTATCGGGCTGCAGTGGGGAGGCAGGGGTGGCTGTTTGGCCCTTTTTCTGTATTTAATTTCCTTTGGTTAAGCTGAGGGAAGCATTCAGCTGTGCTGCTTGCCCTGTAACACAGATGGAAGTACTCAGTTCGAAGCCCCACCACCAGCCCCCACACACATGCTGGCACACCTGGATAACAGCTCTACCTGTTTACAAATTACCCCAATTTTCTGCTTGATTCAGCAGTAACTGCTTACCCTCCCCCGTGATGTAATTAGGCCTTCAGAGTTCATGTGTGCCTATTATGATCTCTCTTGTGTTTTGTCTTTTTTTTTTTCTGTAGCCGTAATCATATATATATATATATGTATTAAAATTTCTTATCAATTGTTCAGCTAAATTATGCACAGTGGGCCATGCTAGCCCTCCATTAACATAAAGTATGCTAAACAACATGTTTTCTTTCTGATAATTATGCTCTAAAGCACCAACTGCTTATTCTAGTGAATTTACTTTCCAGTTTTTCTTATTTCTTCAAACTTTTAGCCATCTTCATGGCAGGGCAAGTGCTCCTTCTGCTGTTAGTGAATTCACCTAATTACCTTTTCTATTATCATCAGAACTTCCATCTGCCTAATAGCCAGCCACTTGGTGTTGAAATGAACTATAATAGTCCATCCAGGATGATTGTTTTCTGACCACATAAAGATCCTTCCATCAGTTGGAACAAAATACTGCTTCCTAAGCCCATCAAGGAGTTAACTGCGTGGTGCATACAACAGAGCTGTGGAGAGAAGTGGTTTGCAAAAGCCTGCCTTCCCACTTTGCTGGAGTGCCATTAGCATCTGTGCCAGCCTGACTGTAGCTCTGAACTTTTGCTTTGTCAGCCATCTCTGAGTGCATTCACAGTCAGTGAACATTATACAAAATCAAGGTGTATGAAGCAAAACTCTCCCAACCCATACCCCCTTCTTTGGCTCTTGAAAAGCAACACTACCCTGCTCTGCAGACCGAAGGAGCTGTTTGAAAGTGTGAAACAACAGCGTTAAAGTCCCATTAACATTTCTAACAGTCATTTTATAGGGATTTTAACTTTGAAAATATTGGCTTTTTTCTTCAGGTTTCACTGGACATCAGACATGAATATTCTGTTTAGGATTTTCTAAAGCTAATTCATTGAACTTCCTATGGGCCTTGTGTAATGAAAAGTATATTTTGATACAGTGCAGTCTGCTTTTGAAGTGTTACATAGCTTGCACGGCTAAAAATAGGTAAAGCAATTCTTTGGAAAACTGTTAAAAGCAATGGGTTTCATTTTATCTTAGGTAAGGGTGAGTAACAACCTTAAGAAACTAGAACAATCTGTTTCTTTGCCCACAAGATCAAAACAGACATTATCTCAAGATATGAATGTTGTTGGGTTTTTCTTTCAGTGGTGAATGAGCTAATGGAAATATTATTCTTTAATAGGTTTTTCTACCCAGTACAAGACTATCTGACCATAGAGATGTGATAAGTGTAGTCATTACCTCCTAGAAACTGCCCTACAGCACCATCTCTGCAAGCACTTGGAATAGGAAAATCTGGGTTTTGGTCCTCATTGTATTCCTCTGAAGTCTCTTTTTATTCAGAAAAGAGCAATTTTCAAAGGCGGGGGGTTGAGTTCTTTATACAGCCTTGGACTTCTAATGAGTGTTCACATTATTTGAGATGAGGAGAAAACAGTGTGCATCACACTGGAAATTATATGCACTTTCAGAAGAAAGAAATCTAGATCAGAAAGAAGCATCAAAAAAGCTACCAAACCAATCTTTATTTTCATAAAGAATTATTTCAGACTATTTCAACAGTATCAGTGTAAGTTTTGTAATGAGGCTCTCTTGGACTTCTCATTTTCATGCCGTTGCCTGAAACATTTTTAGCTTTCTATAAATTTAGGTCAAGATTTAATTTTCGCTAGTTAGAACAAAAGCAGAGCAGTTCTAGCGCAATGGCAGTTGCAGAGGCAGGAGGCTGACTCGTACTACAAACAAGAAAATAATATGGGTGTCAATTTTGAATATGTAGAGTTGTGTCAGCATGTGAATGAAGATCCAATTCATTTTTATGAAACTTTAGACTAATTAGTTTTATAATTTGCACAGTGAGGTAATGTAAATGTGTTGCTGCTGCTTGACTTTTTTCTTAATCCTTTGAGTGGATATTTAATCTTTTTTTATATATTAGAATTAAAGCAACTTGGAAGATATGAATAATTAATCTAATTATATGCCGATCACTTTAATTTCTTTAATGTTTTAGATAAAAAAAACAACATTACAAATTGGTTTAGGTTGGAAAACCCTTTTAGAGGATTTTGTATTTCATCAGTAAGTGCAATTTAGAGGATACAGGCTCTGGAAGTGCAACATTAAGTTTATCGTTATGCAAATGGCCCAGTTAATCCAGGAGTTCTGGTGACCAGATTCTCAAGGTGTGCTTCATGAATTCGTAGCTTGAATTTAAAAAGCAGAATTTGCCAGTTAAGGAAAATGAGGAACCAAAAGGCTATAAAATGTTGCAGGCTAGCAAAGGGAAACATAAAGAACCAGTAATCTGCTTATCTCCTCTGTAGACTGAAGGACAGCAAAAACTGGAAAAATGAGTCTTGCGTTGTCTACACATATCAAGGACTGTATCTTGTGGGGGAGAGGACAGAAAACCAATGTATCGACAATGATGATCAGGTGTAACTCTATGTGCAGTACGAACATGAAGTTATACATAAACTGAGAGCTATCTAGTTTGCATACATCTGAGCATGGCATGCATATGGAGTGCTGACTGCTTAACTTGTGGAAAATATAAACCCTGTAGAGATCATCACAAGTGTAGGAGTTTGTATCTGTCCTATCATGGTTGGCTATTTTTGGTGACATCCACAAACTTCAGATTCCTTGGCGTTTTGAAAAATTTCCACTTTCCTTCCTTTAATATGTGCATTATGCTCTGTAGAATTAGCAACTTTGAGCTAATTCCTTGTCTCTTCCCCTGCAGCCTGCTATTCCTTATTATATGGCTTTGTCTTCTAGGGTTGGTTTTGGGATTTTTGTCGGTTTTCTAAGGGAAATGAAAGTACTGATCATTACAGTAGAATTAAAAATAGCTTCTAACAGCTTAGCCCAAGATACGAAAATAGTCTCTCTTCCGGCTTATCCTGTCAAGTACAGTGGGAACCCTAGTAAGGTAATATCTGTGAAAACCTCATTCTGGGTTTGTGTCTTTTTTTTCAGAATCTTTCCCTTATGTCTGCATAATGTAATCATTGGAATGAGATTGTTGATTTTTTTTTTGTTCCTGATAGCTCGCATTTAAGCTTTCAGGAAACGTCATTGGTCTTAGAGACTTACTTACCCATATGATGCTTCAGTGTTTTATGATGTATTTATATGTCATTGCTTAGGAAAAAGGACACAGTAACTGTAGAAAATTTGTAGATAAATCCATACTAGTATAAATGTTGATCTTCCTGTGCACAAGTTTTCCATGTGTCTTCCCTTGTTTGGTGTCCTGGTGACTAGGAATTTGTCATTCGCAAGGACAAATGTAGACTTTCTGTCCTTTGCTATTTAAGGTAAAGAATCATGCTTGACTAGTGAAGAAGTGCAGAATGTATTGTGGTGGCCAACCCAGCTGGACAGACTGTGAAAGCAAATAAATACCTCTCAAACAGGAATACCTTTTTCTCACCCCACTTCTCTGGTAATAGCTATCACATCAGGCATAAAGTGAAGAGGTAGGCACTAGTCTAAGTTTAGAGGCCTGGGAATGCATATCTTCTTGAAGTGGTACAAATACTTTGGTGGTTCTCTCACTTCCCCATGGGTTCAGGACATCACTGTATAGCACAGACCCTCAGGGTAGGAATAAGACCTGATTCTAAGGGATATTTTCTGAAAGGTTCTTCGGAACCTGCACACCTGGAGAACAATTAAAATAGAGATGAAAGGGGAATGCATGACTTTTACTACACCAAAGCATACAATGCAGCCTCAAACCTGGGGATTTGATTTGCAGGGGACATCTTGGGAAGGAGGATATCCAGACTCCTTGTGAGTGTCTCTGTTTCTACTCCACAGCGCCTGGTAGGAATGGTCCATACCAAGACTAGGAGGGAGAGGAGAAGCAGGTCTCTGAGGACATGCCAGAGCACATTCACATGACGACACGGGAGTTTTCTACACAAACACTGATTCTGAAACTTCTTACAGAAACTCTGGGTGTTTCTATGGTTTGGTACATAAGGGGACTTAACAAATATTTACCCAAAGAGCCAGAAGCACTGCTGGAAGTTCCAGCACTTCCTCTCTCCCACAGGTCTTTATTTTTTCCAGAGTATGACAATTTTGCTTTTGTGTAGTTTATCTCTGTTAGTACAACATATAACACAGGCTTTGCAGAGGACTCTTAAGATACAATTTTGAATAGACACAACTGCTGTCTATTTTGAATTGTGAGATACACAGGTGTAGACAAGAATTAGTTATGGGCTAATTTACTTTATTTTCTCATCACTTAAGCATTTTTGAAATGTTAAAGCTAAGACCTGCTGGACCAGGAATCTTTTGTAACTTGCTGCTTGCCATCTGAACCAGGGAGTCCTCCCAGCTTAAGTGGCCATTAGTGAAACCAGCTAATGCCATAGCTGAAGTTGTTCTATAACCCTTCCTGCCTCCTCTCTCAGGTTAGCAGGTTCCTCTTTCATCTCCTGCAGCCCTGCATGCCTCTGCCTTCCCAGCATTATGTTTCCCTCTTCCAACACCTGGCATCATTGTTTGGTGCCTGGGAATTTCCCACTCTCTAAATGAAGTTCCCTGCAGAGAAAAATAGCTCTTAGCTTCATCATAGCAGTCATTCAGTCAAAGTGCATTAGTTCAGATTAACACTATTGTCTCTGGTCTAGTAAGTTGATACTAAAAGCCTTATCAGCAAAAGCAGATATGCAAAACAGAGGTATAACACCTTGTAAAGTAACAGCTTCAACAAATTCTCTTTATCATCTTTTAAACTAAGTGTATCTGAATTCCCATGAAGAAGGTATGCTATATAACTGAGGACTTTGGATTAATTTCTGTGGATTTCTAAGAGAACACCTATAGAACTATGTTAAAGTCCACATCCTTTAAATTCTATGAGATATTTCTATGAAGAAAGTGTGTATAGTGAGTCTCCCTATAGCAGGTTAATGTTTGTGTATTGTCACCCTGACTGAACCCAGCATGGGAGCTCAAGTGGAGTAGAAATCAATGAAATAGCATTAGGATGCAATTGTCGCAAATTATCAGAGAAGAAAGAAGACAACTGTAATTCACTAGAAGTAACACTTTACCAACTGCTCTCACTAAGCATTAGTTTAGTGTGTTTTCAATTTCAAGGCACTTTCTCTGGAAAATACTTGGTCCATAATTACCATTATTATCACCATCCTGAAATTTGTGGAATTTAACCTAAACAAATTCCTCAAAGCTTGCACTTAGTTCTGATATACTTCATCCTATTTATCCTTAGCTTCAGTGGCACTTGTGCTATGAGGATCATGCTTCATATTGCGAATACCATATCTTTCTCAAAGAAAGCTGCTACGAGCTGCTGTACAAACACCCTGGGTCTATGCAGTCAGTGTTTGCATGTGTCCTATTTTGCCCAGCAGGACAAGGTCACTGCAGAATTTCTGTGGGGGCCAAATCTCTTATGTTTTATTGGCAGTCATCACAGCCAAGGTTTTGTTACATCCCTGTGACAACCTTAACTGAGTGGTCACAATACCACTTTCTATCCAGCAGTCATTGTTGCTCCCAGCATCTCAGATTTTGCCCTTTCTTTGTCTTGTTCGCTAGCAGGAAAATTATTGGTAGAATATAAAATTACTGCTAAAACCAGTTAAACATTCTCTAACTGAAAAAAAAAAGGTATTTTTCCTCCATGTACACTGGATATATATCTAAATATTTCTATGTTACAGTGATAATTGTCTCTCTGACATAATGTAGTATTTGCATTTTGTCATTCATCATTTTTTTTCAAGGCGTATGATCACTCAAGGGACTGGTTTATGTCTTTCATTTCCTGGTTATCCAGTCAGCTCCAGCTCACACCAGCAGGAATTGAAAGCTATTATCAATATGGAGAACAGGATTTATGTGAAACGAGGATGGGATGTCAGTCAGTCGCCTAATAGCAAAGCATTCATATCCCAGTAACCACCTCATGACTATCAGTTTGTCCTGGTACTCAACAGGGGATCAAAGGCTAAATGATAACCAAAGCAAAATTAATCTCCATGCCAGGTGTGGTGATTTAACTGGTGTTAAATCTGTACTGTGTGGTACAGCAACTAAGTACCACACACCTGCTCACTCAGTCTGCCCAGTAGGATGGGGAGGAGAATCGGGGAAAAGGTAAAACTCATGGGTTGAGATAAGAACAGTTTTATAACTGAAATAAAGTAAAATATTATAATATTAATAATCATAATTGTAATGAAAAGGGAAAAATGAGAGAGAAATAAAATCTGAGACAGGTGATGCACAGTACAACTGCTCACCACTTGTTGAGTGATGCTCAGCACATCCCTGAGCAGCAGTCAGCTTCTCACAGCCAACTCCCAGCATTTTCTATACAGAGTATACAAAAGTAAATCCTAATACTGTATTTAAAAAGAGCAAAAAATATGTGGTATGGAATACTGCTTTGGCTAGTTCAGGTCAGCTGTGCTGGCTGTGCTTCCTTCTTGTGCCCCTTCCTCACTGGCAGAGCATAAGAGACTGCAAAGCCCTTTGATCAGGATAAGCACTGCTCATCAAGAATTAAAACACTGGTGTGCTATCGGCATTATTCTTAGACTAAAGCCAAAACACAGCAGTGCACCAGCTTCTAGACAGATAATTAACTGTCCCAGCTAAAACCAAGACACTAGGTCAGGATGGAAACCCCTGAGAAGTGTGCCCATGTGCAAGAGAGTATGAACAAAAAATTTTACTTTGAGTGTGCTTTTGATTCAGCTTTGCTCTACACAGGACACTCAAGTCAGTAGGTTTCCCAGGCACACTGAGAGTGAATTTATTCATAATAAAATAATTTTTAGAGTAATAAATAGACTGTTTCATATCTGATTACAAGCTCTCCCTGCACGGGCATGAGATGAAGCCCTCCATATCAGGAAGAAAAGAGGGAGTCTGGTTCAGTAATCAAGTTACTGAAGACTGTAAAGCAGGGGGTCAGGCAGTAAAGTTTAGGTTATTTACAGTGTAGATGAGGGTAAAAATCACTGGCCAGGGACAAGGGAGATATGTGAGATTTGAAGAATTAGGGACATAATTGGGACTAAGGAAACCAATCACACCAGGTGTGATGCAGATTGGTAACTGCTCTGGTATGGTAAAGGACTATATGTAAAAGACTATGAGAAAATGTCATCACTTCCCAGCTGTCTTTCTAGGCTGCTCCATTTATGTCTGGTCAAACTCAGCATCCATTTCCCTTGATATGAATAGGTATGGACAGGTCTTTGGTATCTCTACCCTCCTGACTGGACACTGAACATCAGCTTACTCTTTTGTCAGTTTTAGGATTTCTCCTTTTTCTCTCCCCTCATAAAAAGAAGCTGGAGTATCTACTTTCCCAGACATACAGCTTTAAAAGTCCTCTGGCTACAACTTTTGTCCCTTAAGACTTCTAATACTTGAAGGAGGAACCTTGCCAAAGTGAATCACCTTCATTTCAGATAGTGCATGTCTGTGCATTACAAAATGCCTGTGCAGCATCTCTGTATCACTTTCTACACGGCTATTGATTATTCTTGAGGATCTGATCACGGACCATTTGATTTAGGTTCCCTTTTTGAATATATAGCTTCTTTTCTGAATCCTGCTGTCTGCCATAATTTTCAGCCAGGTTTCTTGTGGTCTTCCTTTATAAATGCTTTGATATAAGCATATCCTTGCCTTCCTGTTGCCTGGGGAAACTTACTCTTTCTCTTCAATGCCTTCAGATTTTTTATTTCTAGTTTGTCCTCTTGTTACAGCAGAAAAATGTATTTCTTAAAATCTGATCCACTTTGGAGAACCTAGGATTTATCTAGGAAGTAATTACACTTCAGGTAGTCAAGCACAGTAAGCCTTTAACATGAGTCTGTTCATGGGTAGATGTGCTGGTACCACTTTCTTGTCACCTTAACATGAGCAGCGTGATGCAGAACACAGCAAGTCAGGACACATGAAGATTGAAGCAGTTCGTAAAGTAAGGGTATAATTAAGTGCTTGAACATGGACAGATTCCTGAAATAATGATAGATGTGAGGAAAGGAGATGAAGTTTGGTTTGTTGAGAAACGCAGGGAATGTGTTGAGAGGAAGGTGACAAGTATAGCAAGATTCAAGGAAGTGCATATACATCTCCTTCATATATCTTTCTGGCTAAAACCAGAATGATATCCTTGAAGGATCTTGAAAATTGAGTCCAAATTTGGTTTGGGTCCTACAGAAGACATGTGTTGGGGGCTGCTACATGGCAGTACGTTAGATCTCATAGCAGATTCCCCTGAAGTATGAAAAAGTCAAAGTCCAAATGGACATGAAGTTTGTAAAGAAACAACACTGAAGATTGATTTAGTAACAGCTGTGTTCAGGAAGAAGATTAGAGGGAAGTGAGTTTAGGAAGAAAATCCAAATATCAATATGCCTGCAGCTCTAGGAGTTTATGTTAGGCTACTGAGAATGTTAATCAGATTTCAAAAAACCCAGACAGTGTAATGCATGGCAGGTTGTACTCTACAGCATACAAACCATGCTGCACAGTTTGCTTTGTGCAGAAAACATGGTTATATATGCAAGTAATTTCCATATTTCTGCTGCCTTATTTTTAACCCATTTAATGACCTTTATGATCACAGTTCAGTGAAGTAGCAGCATTCGTGCCAGCAACAGCATTCCAGCTGGTTTAATGAATACACACATGATTTCATGAAGGAATATATCTTTTTTGACCCAGTTTCAACCTTTCATATTTCAAGCTGTTTAATTATAAGATATATTGGTTGGAAACAAACACCCATTTATGCGACATTAAAAGTTTAAACAAATTCCATATGCAATTATCTTAGGCACTGAGTGTCTGTGATTGGTATATGTAGGTAACAAATTAGTGGCACAGTTGATAAATGCCTTTCACAGAACAGATGCAAATAACCAGACTTCTGTGTTCCTTGAGTCTGCATGATAATAGGTTCTTTAAGCACCCTGCTAAGAATTAGGAAATTAGTCAAATGGGATCATATTTAGGTTGAGCTAATACTGCACAGCTGAATTTACCCACCATTATCTGCGGGCATAATTGGAGACAACTGTTTTTTGGACCAGCTGTGCAGGTCACAAAAGGATAATAATGGGGGCCCAGCCTTGCTATGTCAGATTGATAAATGTTTATAGCACCGTGTGACTGGAGGAGCTGGCTTTAAACAGGTACAATTTAGGATTATTTCTTCTTTCTTTAGGATTCCTAGGGTTGAACATGCCAAATTAAATTGTTCATCATTTCTACATACCATGAGTCAGTGTAATTCATAGGGAGAAGAAAGAAAAGGTGTGGTAAGAGGAAAAATATCTAAGAGGTGTCAGATAAAACTTTCTCACCACTCATAATCTGTTTTACACCTTCCCGTTAGTTGCTTTTCCTGCTATTTTCTCACCTTTCCTTTCCCTAGGTGGGTAGGTTTACATTGTTTACGCTGATATTGTGGAACTTAAAAGTGCCACTCATGCAGTTCCGAATTTCTCACTTGCTCTTTTTAGCATTTAGACTTAATAGTTGTTCTTGGTATTCTGACAAGTATTTCTTTTAAATGTTACATTCAAGTACAGGCCTGTACTAATGCTAACCTATAAATACGTTGACAGCTACAGTTTGTTTAGAAAATGTGATATTAATGTGAAATGTATCTTACCTGAATCCATTAGTCACAAACAGGTAAATAAGAAAGCACACTCTGATTTTAATTGCAAGGAATATGTTTCATGCCAAATGTCTGTCCTATTTTTTGCTCTCTTTAAATGCACCATTAGGATTTACTTTTGTGTGTCCTACATATGCGCTGTAAATTACACTTTATTTTAACAAAATTAATAATTTGCAGTGAAAAATAGAGAGCTTTAATTATCTTAACTAGGTACCACTAAGGTTTAAATTACTAAGAAGTGAAATGTTGGTTCTGCTGAGTACTGTTACTGTAGCACAGACCTGGATTTAGCTGCTATCATAACAGAAAGGGAGACAGGTAGGAGAAGAGACCTGAAAGGTGAAGAAGAGGGGTTGTAATTTTATTTTACATTAGCCCTCTGAAATGCGCTCCTGCTAGTGTTCCTCAGCTTCACAGGATTACATCTGCAGTCATGGCCAAAAATAGTTCTGGAGACCAGAGCATACTGCAGTGGTGATTCTGCCAGCAGTGCAGCTAAGGAATATTGGCTCTGATTTCACAGTGCAGCCTCTTCTTTGCGTCTGCTTGTTGGCTGTTGATCCCCGGGTCCTGAAAACATAGGGAGATTTATCAGACAAGGTAAATCTTTACCTATTGATGGCACAGACTGGCTGGAAGGTGAACTTTAGGCTCATAGGGATGAACTTTACGCTTTAGGGTGAGCTGTGGGCTCTCCGAAAAACTACAGAAGTGACGGGGGGTGGCTGCTTCTGTCTTTTGCTTCTCACGTTTGTGTGACACAGCACCATCAAGCTGCGTGGATCTGGAGTATGCAGAGGTTCTGACTTCAGTCAAGTGCAAATTCACTTCAATATCATGGGAAGGAGGCGGGGGGGGTGTGGAGGGGTGGAAATGGTGTTGCTGTAGGAGCAGCAACTCCAGGAGCCTTACATCTGCATCCCTTCTTCAGGCATGTCAGGTGGCTGTCGTTGCCCTCCTGAAGTGATGCACTCCACTGGGACTCCTTGCATGAGAAAAGTGTTACATTTCCAGCCCATTACTGGCATGCAACATGTGCAAACTGTCTAAAGTGTATAAATGGAGTGCCTGAAGAGTGTTTTATTATCAAAGTAATTGCTGCATTTCCTAGATTAACGTTTGTTAGTGCAGTAGACTGAAATCATCACCAGTTATCTTATCTATGAGAGAAATTTTATCTTTCTCAGGCCTCCGATATTCATGAACACAGCAGACGCTGATAACACCAGCTATTCCCAGGTTTCCAGTCTCCAGAGCAAAATGATCTTGCTTTCTCTGCTCAAGATGGCATCATAGAACTTCCTCCAGGATCTTACTGTTATAAAATACATCAGAAAAGACCCTCTGCTGTCAGAATTAGCATTTCCACCACAAACCAAACCATGTTTCTAATCCATTCCTTTCTAAATTAGCGATGTTTCTTGATGGTATGGGAAGGGGGAAGGGACAACAACAGTTGTAAAATGTTTTTTATTGAAACTTAAAGGCAATTATTTCTGAATTCCCATCTCCTTAATTCAAAGTGTCACTGTTTTGTGTTTAATCAGTACTTAACAAGCCTTATTGTGAAGCGAAAGACCTAAACAATGTCTGTAATAGGCTGGGAGGGTTAGCTGAACTTTGTTTAAATATAAAGGGAGTAGTGCATCTGCTGAAGAACTAAGCCCTTTCAAAGTTTAGGACACTCACCAGTGCCATGCAGCATAAATCACAGTGCAAACTGTGTGATTATACCCTGCAGGGAAATAGACTGTGTGTTTATGGGGCTCTTCACCAAGCACTTAGGAATAATCTGATATAAAGCAGCAGGGGAGGAGAGTAATGACAACTTCAAATTAGTTTAATGAATGTTTACATTAAAAAAGGCTTTTCCACAAACCTGAAAACACAAAGTGACGGTTTCCTCTCCAGACAAAAACCCCCTCTGCTTTTCCTTAGAGTACTGGATGGAGGAGACATTGTAAATTTAACTCTTTCAGTACAATAAGCCATAGTATCTTTATGTTCAGTGGTTTGCTGTCATTATAATGAGAGTTGCTAGCAATCCAATTATAAACAGCAGTATCTGGCTGGTAGCTCATCTATTTTAAATCACACTGATCTCAGGGAAAAAAAAAAGAACAAAGGTTGAGAATTTCATTCCCATGAAAGAACAAACATCTCAAAATGAACTTTGCCAACTTTCTGTGGAACACATGCTTAGTATATCTTTGGCTGTATTCATTCAACAGGCTAATGTGAGGTTTGAGAGATTCTTTTCACTTCAAGCAACATACAATGAGTTTATAAAGATAAAAAAGGGAGGAAGGGCAAAGTGTTAAACAAAATAGAAATAATGCAGTACTTCTAGTTTTCTTCTCAGACTCAAGGTAAATAATTTCTCAATATTCCCACATATGCACAAGGCGCCATCATATATACAGTGAATTCTTGGGTAGTTTGGAAGAATAAACAGCTTGTGCCTCTGTAGCAGTTAAGATCCTTCTATCTGAGGACTTACTGTGCATTTCAGATCCGGCATTGCAGGATTTTTCACTGCCACAAGGTATTTTCATGAAACATTTTTAAAACTTTTTTCAGTGGGGCATTTTGAATTGCATCAGGTGGAAATTTGTTTTTTGCCTTTACAGAGTAGATGCAAAGTTTTCCACTAAGAATTCTGCGAATGAGTAAGCATATATAAAGAAAAGAAAAAAGAAAAGAAAACAAAAGAAAAAAGAAAAGAAAGAAAAAAAAAGCAAAAGAAAACAACTTATTTTTAGGTTAGAAATAAAAGTTCAGAGGTAGGTTAGAGATAACTTCCAGTTAACTCCAGTGTTTTGAAACTTCCCCAAGAGTTAATGTGTGTGAAATAGGTCTAGGTATGACTGTTATTGTACAAACTCTTACTGAAATGTTTTTTGTTTTTGTCCAAGGATGTAAAAAGTTAATAACAAATCAAGTACCCATTTTTATTAAGGAGCATGTGTGCTTCTCAAGCAACCATGGGAAGCTCTGATTTTAGACACTAATTTGTCAAATGCTATATTTGCTAAGGGTTTTTCTTAATCCAGTATGCATCCCAAACAATACTTGTTCTGTAAAGCTTTCATACAGAAGAAAATACTTTTGTATGTATATCTGTCACACATACTAAATAGTATATGTATTTTAAGTACTATTATATATATAGCTATTGCAAATGTCACTGAGATCAGGATAAAGACTTTGCACTCTCATGAGGTGTAAAGAAGAGCCCATGTTCTTCTTGATAAACAAATAAAACCACATAGCACAGGTCCTGCAGCAGCTTTTCTGTTTATCATATGCTAGATGTGATGTGGAATAGCTTTAAAGTAAACCAGATACAGTGTGAGTGAGGAAATCAATATCAATAGGGTGTCTGGAATGAAGTGTGATTGACATTTGTAAAGTTGTTAGAAAACATTGCAAACTATTAGAAAAAAGTGTCAATAGGCATTTCACTTCAAAAGAAGGATTAAAATAAGATGACTGATGCTGTGTGATGCTAACTGGAAGCTTGGAAGTCCCTCAGGTTGCAGAGCGCTGATTGTAGGATATGGCCAATGGAAAAACAACAATTTCTGCATCAGTGTGAAGGGTCCATGAAATAATTTTTTATGTTTCTCTTAAGCTACGTTTTTAGCTTTGTCCATGTTACTGCATGTTACAACCTACTCTAAACAGCCAAGCCTCTGGTTGTTTATAATAGAATCCCTCCTGTTTTGTCAGTGCAAATATGGAGGCATTTTACTGAATGTTTAACCGTTACAGAAATTATGTTTTTCTCTGGGAAGCATGTTAAGAGCACATTAGAAAACCACACCACTGATCTCTCTTGGAAATTCCTGCAGTAGTTTTTGGCAAAGGAAGTCCCATGGAAAACCAACTTTGTCCATCCTACTGGTGGTGGGATAAGCCACCCAGGATGAGTGTACTGCGGGTGAAAGCTGGGTAGTTATGTGTTTTACCACTTAAATTACTGTGTAACGTAGTTCAAGTCTTCCACAATCAGAACCTGATTTTCAAAGCAGAGGATCCATCCTGTCACCTATAATCAACTGAATCTCTGAAAGCAAGTCATAAAATTACTGCTGTTTAAGAATACTTCTGAGGTCTTTACAGGAAATATATTTAGGAAAGCTAAAGCCCTGGTAGAATTAAATCTGGTCAGGGGTGTCAAGGGCAACAAGGAAAACTTCTATAGATATGTCGGTGATAAAAGGAAGACTAAGGAAAATATGGGGCAAAGTTGCTTTATTATCAATTAATTTGGGGGGGATTCCACTACCCTTGATGCTAGGAAGCACAGGTCCCCCTCTGTTAGACCCTGTATATGTAGATAATATGTTATGTGCCCCTGTCCTCCTGCAAGGATAGCATGCAGTCTGTCCATGTTCTCAGGCATGTGGGGTGGGAGCTTAGTGCCCTGAGCCTGCTGTCTAGCCTTTGTATTTCAGGCAGTTTAGTGTATGCTGTATTCAGTAAACCTCTCTGTGGGCTGTTGGGTGAATGTATCTGGATGGATTGATTTTAATACCTAGTTATTTTAGCAGAAAAAAGGTGGACTATATTTGTGTTAACCCATTTTTTTGTGATAAGACTTTCTCAAATATGACCCTCTCCTGTATGCACATAGTTTAATATAATTAAATATAAATTGCTCTGTTTTACATGCTATGTCTACTTCAGTTTAAAGATCTTCATGAGTAATTTAATCATAATTTATCAGAAGATCACAGACTGATACAAATTATCTGAATTTTTTTCCTGTTATGTTTTTACAAACGACTTTCCCTTACGGAATATTATGAAGTAAAGAAAAGGGGGTATTTTCTGACCTAGTGAATTTCTACTTGAGACAGCATGTATTTGGATGTAGAAAACCTCAGTGTGAAGCACTAGTATGAGAGCCAATATGATGAATGTCATTTTGAGTTGCCAGTTCTTTAACGCACTCTTGTGTAGACACTGTAAATTTCACATTAATCATTGCCAAGCTGTGGCATGACCAGCAAATACCAACTTTAGTAAGAGAGCCAAATGATTGGGAACATGTTCAAAACAGCTTTATTCCACTGACAGGTAGGACTGCTTAAATGAAATAAAAAAAATCCAATTTGGCAGAAAAACTCTTCATGTGTACTTTTGTTATTCAGCCATTATGCAAACCTGAAGTATGCAGAGATGGATCGTTTATCTTGGTTTATTGGTATGTATAGACACACGAACAGTATCCATCTAATAGTGTTTTCTTATGTACTCCATTGTGCTAACAGGAACAGTTCCACTATCACCTGAGGGAAAAATGCTACCAGGGAGACTTAACTTTGGGGAAAAATCAATTAGAAATTGTCTGCATGTCAGTCGTGCTCAGTAAGCTGTAGAAAATAGACAGGAAACACAAAGCAAGTATGGCCTAGTGTTTTCAGGAGTTGACACAGGAAAAGATTCAAAAATAGGTAGTTTTTGAAAACAATCCTGTTTGTGGATTACCACCTTCAGGTAGCTAATACATGCAGAAATTTTGTGCTATTAAAGACCGTTTTTTCTCTTTTTCTCATTATTATTTGCTTAAAACTGTTTTCCTGGGAAGCAAAAATGTAAAAACAAACTGTATTTATGCAAAGTTTTGTAAACATTAGTCTCTACAGCCTGCTGTCAGATACACACACAGGAGCCCTGAGGCAAGATAACAAAAGTCCTTTTCCTCATGCAGATGTGGTCAGAAAGGCGATGTAACCCTGTCCTTTTGTCCTGTGCTCCAGGAATACTTGGTGCTCAGGATATATTAAATCATAAACCCTGTAACAAAAGCTTACCCCAGTCAGCTGCAGTGTATAGATTTACCTGGAGGGCTCCAGGTAGTCTGGGTAGGTGACCATGGTTGTGCTATGGCATCCAGACCAAAGGGCTGCTGGCAGAAGCCCGGGCCCCGATATAAATAGCAGAAGCAGATTGTCTGGATGCTGAGCTGCACTTTCCCCACTTCCTCTTAGTAAATTTGATTTTGGGATTCTCTCTGGAAAGGGATCACCCAAGTCAGCAATAATCAGTCAGTGCCTTTTACTATACATGCCCAAAGATAGAACTGCAAAACAGAAGGTACCGTTTCAAACTCTTTTGCCCAGCTTCTCTGTTCAGATGTGCTTGGCCCCATTTTGCATTCCTGAAGCAGTAACAAGATGCAGAAAAGCTCATATAAAGGGGTAGGTGAAAAATCACTGATTCTTCACCCCACTGCATTCTCAATAACCCCTGAGCATGAGAAGAGTGAAAAGTTTCTCAGAAATACAGGTCCTACAGAGGAGTCGAAGGGGAAAATTAATGTATAATTATAGCCATATTGAGATAGTCATAGAAAACACACATCTCCATTTTATAATTTTCCTGTAAAATTATCACAACACCCTCCTGTGGTTTCCCAGCTGTATATGTGTGACCCTGCAAAGACAAATTCAAAGACATCAGGCAATTCGGTGCCCGTAGCCGAGCTTGGAAACTGTCAAGACATGCAGTTTGTGCCGTCTTTTGCTCTGCCCTATATCCAGCGCCAACAAAGAACTAGATCTCCTCCCCAAAGCTTTCTGGTGGCTCTCTCCCTTCCTTGTCATTAATAAATGGCCAACAATATTGGTTTAACAGGAACTCTTTGAATTATTTCTTTCTTTGCCAAAAGAACACATTTTTTTCTCATTTATAGCAAGTTATAGAAATGTGATTCTGTCCTTCAACTGACATGCTCCAGCCTGGATATCCCAACTTAATGTTAAGTACCAGTGTAACTAAGGTAGGAGCTGGACTTCTTGGCATGCTTCAGCCAAGGGAAAGCAGTACATGCCTCCAGGCACTCAATAAAATCAGAATTGCCCACTAGAGGTGCCTCTTTCCTTTCTCCGCTGATGGCCTGGAGGGTATGTAGGATCTGAAATCAGGCACAGGCACCCCTTGTGGATGCTTAAAGTTAGGTGGGAAACATCATTGCCTTTACACATAATTTAATTCAATGTGGACTTCATTGGAAAGAGGATTTTATTCTACGGGTCAGGTTGGCTTTTCATGTTTCACACAGATTTTTGTTTATGGCTTTAACAGGTGAAACTAATTGCAAGATAAATAGGCACTGCAGGAATTTTGCCATAGGTAGTTTGGGTTGCTGAAAAGGGACAAGAACAATTGTATTGGGGGCTGAAAAGTTTCATATTCAAATAGTGTCCAGATTAAATACTTTTTCACTGCACTCTTTCTTGTCTGAGTGAAGAGCCTGAAGTAAGCAATGAATATTTGAAATGCAGGCACAAGCAACTGATAAGAAAAATACAATTACAACTAGCCCTAAAGATATTGCACTTAAAGGGGGATCACACTTATGTGCATTTAGAAGACAATATTAATAAAACACTTAAAATAACTTCATATTAGGGAATTAGGCTGTTATTTTTTAATGAAACTCTGGGGCCATTTTATCCAGACAAAGTGTTACATTTTATTCATATAATAGAAGTCCAGATAAAACAATCACATTTCGTTAGTAAGTGGAAACTGTGAATTTTAACAATTGTGTTAATAGTTTTAGATAACTAGAAAAGTAGATTTAATAAATTATAAAACTTTACAGTTAGGAACTAAAAAGCCATCTGACTTCAGAGGGCCGTCTGCTCCTCATACCAGCACCAGCACAGCACAGCTCAGCC